TCTCAAGGTGTAGGGAACCTTCCCTAAATCAAGTGGAGATGATTTTTCTATGCTTTTGAAATTTTTTGAAACTTCAGAAGTGTTTCTGTTTTGCATTCAGGTGGAACTGAACTTGGGAGGGGAGAGGGAAAGGGATGTGGTGGTCCAGGGCTGAGCACTGAGCAGCCAGCCAGAGGGGATGGAATTCCTTCTGTGTCCTCCTGGAAACTCCTGCACTGTTTCTGCAGCAGATGATGTTTTGTTTGTCTCTTCTTCAGCCAGCTGACATTGCCTTGGAGAACTTCTGGTAAAAATATTTCCTTGATCAGCTTCCTGTTGCTTTCTCTAAAAAACTCCTATAGATTATTTAATTCTTTGCTGATAGTGGTGTTATGTCCTTATTTCATCATGGGATGGTGGAAGCTCCCTGGCTTGTCCTGACACTCCTGCCTGTCCCACAGGAAGGAGTTTCCTGCCCAGAGCTCCTGCTGTAGGGAGGAGCATCCCGACCTCATGGCTCTTTGGGCTGGTCCTGCTCTGCTGAATTATTGTTAAATGCTGCTCTGGCATTGTTTTGGAGGTCCAAATGTATTGTTGTGGTTTTGCTGCTCATGCTTTATCAGGATTTTCTGATTTACAGGTGGTGACTGCTCGTGATTTTGGTGACATTCCACCAATTCCAAAACAATTTTCTGTGCAAAGCTCGCTTGGATTGTGGCTGTTTGCAGGGAAAACTTCAGCTCCTGGAGCTGAGCCTGCTGGAGGATTGGTGCTCCCATCCCTGTGATGGGAATTGCCCCAGAGCCCCCTGGTGAGAACTTGAAATCTTGGGGGATTGGGAGGTTGTTCCAAAAAAGAAAGAAACCAGGTTTTGAACTTACTGTTCTGTGCTGTTATTATTCACATTCTGTTTCTGGAACCTGGTTAAAGTGGTTCAGCAGAAATCCTATTTTTAATTATGTACCTGTGTTGGGTATTTATTTATCATTATTTCCAGTGCATTGTGAAAAAGTGCATTTCTGATAGTGCAGGTTAACCTGAAAGTGCAGAGAAAACTGCAAGTGATCGGTAATTAATGTATTACTTAATAAAGGTTACAGATGTTACCATTTTAAGAAATGGCAATGAGTCATTGCCAGTTTAAAAATCAAGTGTTGAAATTCAGTATGACTTGAAATTGTCTCAGTATCACCTAAATGTGAATTTTTGCATTTTTTCCTGAGGATATTACAAATGTATTTGTCACTAAAGTCCTTCTTCGGCAGTGTATTAAAAAGGAAATAAAAGTGTGTGGCAACAGTGATGTGGACACACAGCCACAATTTTAATTTTCTGTATTAACTCCTCCCATTGTTGCAAAACAAGAGCTTGCAGCTTTTGATCATTTGCTCTGGGTGTGATTATGTAAAACAAAAACCCCAACACCCTCGATGATACACCATAAATCCGGTGGTTGTTTACTGAAGTTTAAACCAGATTTTTGAGAAATGTTTGAGGTTTTTCCTTAATGCACAATAAGTCCTGAAATTTCCAGAATGACAAACTGGATATGCAGCTCCAAAGGGCTGTGGGGAAAACCTTGTGCCATGAGCCAGATGTGCAGGGAAGGGCTGGATGGGCTGGGGGAGGAGGGTTATTAAAGCCACGAGGTGTTTGGGGCTGGGGGAAGGCGTTTCCAGTAGGAACCTGCTGTTTTCCACAATATCTTCTGGAGATGATGTCCCTCAGGGCTGGGCTGGGCCAGGTCTGCTGCCGGGATGGATCCTGAACTGTCAGCAGAGGGTTTATCTCTGTCAACGTGCTCTAAATCTGCTGCTTTTCACTAGGAATGAAGAGGGGGCCTTGGATGTGTAGGGGATGTTCCCAACAAGCTGGAGATTTGTGCAACTGAGGGTTTATTTCAGGCTGGCTTAATGACCCAGAGGATTTTTTGGAAATCATTTATGTTGGTAAATAATGAGATGTGGTGGCTGCAGAGCTTGTGGTAGCAGTTCACCTTCTGCTCTGGGGTGAGATCTCCAAAGGTGGGTGCTGGGTTAAGGGTCCTGAACTGTTCCAGTCTGCAGATCTGAACCTGTGGGAACAAGGTGAGTGGTTTTCCTGGAATCCCAGACTGATTTGGGTTGGAAGGGACCTTAAAACTCATCTTCTCCCAGCCCCTGCCGTGGGCAGGGACACCTTCCACTAATCCACTTTGCTCCAAGCCCTGTCCAACCTTGCCTTAATCCCCTCCAGGGGAGATTTCGGTTCACATTTGACTTGTACTTAGTGCAATCAGTGGTGCCCCCTAAATTTTCTGAAATTGCTGCAGCTCGTGTTCTTATTTCATTGTTTTACATCAGCTTTTCACTGATTAAACAGGCCAGATTTATGGGGAGTTGTTTTCTTGCTCATTATCAGCTGCTGAAGCATTTAGGGGAATGTTCTTGAGTATGAGGTGGAGAAGCTGCAGATGGACCTGGGTGGTCAGTCCAGGCTACCCCAAAACAGGAGAGCAGCAAGAAAGAACAAGCAGGGGCTCACAGTGCCAAGTAATACTTGTGTTTGGGAATAAATCCATCAATGCCTGGATTTCCCTCCTGTGATTTGGATCCCCGTGCTGTTAATTCGTCTGCTGGAGTAGCCTCTGGACTGCAGCATGGTCAGGAGAGGGGCATCTCAAGCCTGCTGGGGTGGTGGATGTGGCAGAGATTCCTTGGCTCCCTCAGGTAAACACAGCCCAGGCAGGAGGGGGATGTGAGCAGGCATCCCCTTGTGCTCCCTGTGCTCTGGAGCAGCAGTCAAACCAGGGATCCCCTGCAGCTCTGTGCCTCTCACCCTGCCCTGCTTTGGGGCCGTTCCTGCCGAGCTGTGTTTGAGTGGGAAATAAAGGGGCATTAATTCCAGTGGAGATCAAGACTCGCTGTCTGCCTGGTCAATTAGGAGGGCATAGGGAAATGTGTGTCTCTTCCCATTCATTGGATATTACATTAAAACCTCTCTGCTAATATATACTTATATATGCAGCCTGCTTTATGTGGCTTTTACCACATATGAAATGGAGACGTTATAATCAAGGCAGTAATAACGAGGAATGATTAAAAGTAACTTCTGATTGTTTTGGCTTTGGTGAAACATATGACCCCAAGCTGCTGACTCAAGACAAAATGAGGTGGGTAAAAATTCTTGTCCCAGGCTGTGCTCATCCCTGAACACAACCAGGCCCAGTGTATGTCTTGTACAGTGAAACCATCCTGGTGTATATTAAAAAAATAAATTAAAAAAGTCAAATCTTTGTAAAGCAGCCAGGTTGATGGAGCAATCAGACAGCCCAAACCGTCCTACAGGGATTAATTTCCCATAGGGATATTTGTGGAGATTACAAAATACCAAATTCCTCTGAGGTCTGGAAATTATTTGTAGGTCGGTATGTGAGATTTAAAATGAGTTAATTCAGCTTTATGGTAATTGGAGTGAGCAGCACCTTCTGAGGGCTGTGAGTCAGGGCTGGGGAGCTGTGTGGTTTCGGGGTGCCAGCCTGTGTGGGGGCACCAGGGTTCACTGTGTTGGGGTGAAATTCACTATGTTTTGGGGAAATTAGGAACTAGGGGGGCTGCAGCATCTTTCAGCTAATTAAATAAGCCCTGATCAATGAACTCACTGATCCAGAGGGAATCAAAAAAGCAAGGGGGAAAAAAAAAAAAGAATACAGTGATTTTACAAATCTCAATGATCCAGAAAGAATCAAAAAAGCAAGGGAAAAAAAATCAAAAAAGAATACAGTGATTTTACAGTAAAGCAGTGCAGAACCTTCTGTCAGCCCAGTTCTGGGTGGTCTTTGAGTTGCCTTTGGTGTCAAAAGCTGAGCTTTTTTTGGGAGCAAACTGCCCAAACTGCACTGAACGGCTCCTGGCAGGGCAGAAGTGCCAGGTCCAACTGCTGGACCACGTGTTGTTGGTTCCCATAGACAGCTTGTTTGGAAGTAAATAGAAACTCTTTGTAAATACAGCTGGGAGAGTGTGGGCAGTGGGAAGAGCAGCCAGAGGGGCTGGTGTGGCTGCACCAGGCTGGTGAGGACTGGCTGCCCATCTCAGCTTGAAATGGGCTGCAAGATACAACCCCAGTGATGACAATCTGTTCCTTCTTGAAAAATCCTCAGGAAAATGGTGTCAGAGATGGAACCAGCCTCGATGCTGACTTCAGAGGGCTCTTTCTTTGCTCAGAGCTCTCCCAGCTGCCAATATTTGCTCCTCTGCTCCTGCTCTGTTGAACGAGTTTGATAAATGTTCCTCTGCTTTCTGAGCGCTGCTGGGTTTAAACAAACCTCTGGGAATATCTTGTAAACTCCCTCCTAGTAAACAGTAAATAAAAGTGGTTGGTGTTTTGCCTGAAGGAAGAAATAAATATTGACTGGTTAGAAGAATGGAAGGACTTTTTTCCCCTAATTTCTTTGGAAAGAGGACAAGGCAGTGCATTTGGAAAAATCAGAGCTGCTTTTCTTGGATGTGCCAGCTCCCAGGAGATGGGTGCTCCCCTGGCTCCATGCTGGGTGTGTTTGTGCCCCTCCTCAGGGGACATCCCGGGGGATGTGCTGACCCTGGTGCGGGATGCGGATCCCACGGGAATCCCGGCGACGCTGGTGCCGTGACACACTCGCGTTGTTACTCACGACAGCGGTTTGGGTTTTCCCTGTTTGTTTACTTCGAGAAAAAGGAAGGAACTTTTAGCTTGTCTTTTGCTCAATCGTTTCCTTTGACAGTGAGTAAAACCACGGAGCTGGATGCCAAAGCTGGGGCTGTTGGGACATCGGCAGAGGTGAGTGCTGCCTGCGTGTTTCACCGACTTTTTGCCTTCCCTATTCCCTGTGGCTCCCGCTCTTGCGCCGGAGGAATGTCAGCGCTGGGAGAGCTTTGGCAGCAAACTAGAGTGCGATCAATCTCCTGTTCCCAGCAAAAGTCCGGCTCTGGAAGAAAAAAAGGGGGATGCCATGGGGTTTACTGGAGGGGGCTGGAGCTGGGTGGGATTTCCCTGTGAGGAGCGGGACTGGCTGAGCCGGCAGCCGGGGACAGACAGCTGGCTTCGGTCCCTTACAGGGAAAATTCCTCTCTGGAATTCCCCCTCCCTTGTCACCGGAGCCCTCCCCGCGGCTCTGTCGCGGTCCCCCTTGTGCGGGGAGGATTCCCCGTGCCCTGGAATTCCTGGCTGCGAGTCCCAGAGCTGGGACAGCACAGCGAGCATTTTATAGGATCAGGGCTGCCCTCCTCCTCCTCCTCCTCCTCTTCCCTCCCGCCTTAGGGAGGATGGTCCCGCTCCTCTGAGCCCCAATGACCGCCCGTGAGCTGCCGCGATCCCGGCCAACACCCCTCTGCCCGTGGCTTTTCCCCCTTTTCCCCTCCCTCTCCTCGCTCTTGCTCCACGCCCGTGGTCACAGGGATGGTCCCGGGTTCTCCCCTCTGCCTGGAGAGCATAAATACCACTGGGGAGCTCTGCGAGACTGCACTTGGTCCGAGTTGCTGAGCCCAGACCTTGCACATCTCGCGCCTCCTGAGGCTTATTCCATCCTTTTCCCCCCCTCCTCCTCGTTTAAATATTTCAGAGACATTAATTTATTTCCCACAAGCAGGCTTGGAGGAGCTGCAATTACCTGGAGACTTGGAAGTACTCAGCAAGGTAAGTGTAAAGTTCAGTCCTGGCTGCTGAAATTTTGGGTTTGGGGGTGGTGGGAGTGCAAGAAATGTCCCTTAAGAAGGCACAGCTTTAGTAACTTCTCCAAAAAGTTGCTGGATTGTATAAAATAACACAGTACTGTCTGAGCTTCCCTCATGCACGCCCCGCAGAATTTAATGCAAGATTAACAAGCATTAATCTGGAATGAATGGGAGGAGTTGGCAACTACAGGAGTGGATTTCTATGCAAATAGAAAATATCCAAGGGATGCTGTTGCAGTCCCCAGAGCTGATACCTGTGGGCACATTGGTGTGCTCCAGGCTGCCTGTGTTTGTGCAGCTCTGCTCTCAAGTCCTGTAGGAAAGGAATTTCAGCATCACCACGTGTGGTGTCTGTTACCAGTGGGTTCTCCATGTGGTTTTACATAGAAACTCACCCACTTGGGTTCTGTGGGAGTGGACTGAAATGGAAAATCCAGATATTTTAACCCATGGCCTTGAAGATGCTGAGTCTGTGGCATGTCCAGTGCAATGTGTCACTGTTGTCCTGTGTCTAGGAACTTGTCATCCTCCTTGCCTTTGGAAGCCAACACAAATCTGCAAAGCTTGGGGTGTGTGCATCCCAGGGAAAGAGATGACCTGGGGTTTAGTGCATCATCTTGTGGCTTTATCCCTGGATTTCTTTGCACAGGTTAAAGTTGATCCCAGGCTAACTCATCCTAGATTCCAGGCTAACTGAGGTTACAAGCTGATCCCAGGTTGACTCTCCTCTGCTTCACTGTTTTAAATGCTCTCCTGACATCCTGAGCTAACTTTGCATTTTCCTTCCTTGCCAGCTGGTGCCATGTGTAACTCCACAGGCCCTGGGATGTTTTAGCTGCAAATGTCACCCATAACCCAGGAGCAGGAGCCCACTCAGGTGCTGCACCAGGGAGGCAGTCAAAGCTCAGTGTCCCTAAGGAAAAAAGGTGACATGGGGACATGAATGCAGGGTCAGCCTGCATGTGGCTTTAGCAGTGTCTCTGCCAGGCTTCAGATGTGACCAGCTCTCCTGCTTTCTGTGCAAGGCAGACACCATCCATTAGCTGGGGAAATAGCTTTCTAAAAATAATCTTTTCCTAAGTCCAGGGCTGCACTTTTAACTCCCTCAGACCCCAGAAGCAGGCCTCCCATTTCTCCCCACTTTGGACAGGCTTTCCAGCATATTCAGGAGTCCTTTTCTGCTGACTCAGTCATTTCTGATGGCTCCCAGATGTTCACCTGGCACCAGTGTCAAGGGCCTGATGTGTTTAAAGGGAGGCTGTGCTCCTCTTGAACCCTTGAAATCAACAGCAGAGGCTTCCTCAGCTGACTGTCAGCTGATAATTTTCTGTGAAAAATGTCAAGCCCCAGCTCAAAGGCAATGTGATTTCAGCCTCCCTGGGTGAGGCATTGCCCAGCCCTGCAGGGCACTGGGAGAGCCTGGGCTGGAGCACACATGTCCCAGTGTTTCTTAGCACCTGGGCATGAGGATACTGAGAGGCAGATGGGTGGACATCTGAAATCTGTGACAGCTTTCTGAAACGTGAGCATCTTTCAGCTGCTTTCAATTCATCTGGCCAGGGAACTCTCTGTTCCCTGTCCCCCCTCCGATCCCTTTATCCTTCCTTGGGATGCTCAGCGCTCCTCACCTCAAGCCAAAGCAGAAAAAGGGACTTGCACACCCCGAGTGAAATAGAAGATTAAGCCAAAGTGACCTAATTCTAAAGAGGTGCTGGTATCCTTTTGCTGGCAAGTGGGACTCAGGGAAGCACATCCTGAGGAATAAAGCACCATCTGTTGGGAGGTTTTGGCCGCCTCGCCGGGCCAGACGCTCTGGCCTCGCTGCGGAGCCGTGAGCGGGGCAGCTCCTCTGGCTCTCAGATGCTACAGCTGATTTTTTCAATCTGCCCTTTCTGAAAGTTCACTGTTTGCCTTAGATGGGTGGTGGATTTGGGCTCCTGTTTAGCCAAGGGCAGGCGGCCAAACGAGGGGTGCAACGGCTGCTCCTGCAGGGAGAGCGGCCGGGGCTAAATGGCCACATTGTGAATGGCCGTGGCATTGCAGCTATTTTTAAACTCTCAGGGAAGTGCCTCAAAGTAGGAATTGTTCCCTGAATTTGGGTCAGACAGTCTACAAAAGCAACTGCTCCTTCTCCCCTACCCCTCCGTAGCCGGGTTAGAAAGTCGGGCTCCTGCCTGGGGGGAAGCGAACGCTGCAAGCGGGGCTGAGAGGAGGATGAGGTTAAAGGAGTGTTTGTCCCCGTGCCACCGAACGTCCTGCCCTCCAGGTGTGCCTGCAGCTGGGGACAAGGCCTGTGTGTTCGCCTTGCTCTGCGGAGCAGGAAATGATGAGAAGCTGTTACCTAAACGGAGCAAATTACATCCTGCATTGTTGTACCCAGGCGAAGGCTTAATGCGCTGCCTGGAGAGAGGCTGAGGGCAGCTGGTTTTCATCTGCCTCAACGCTCAGTCCAAGAAAGAAGCCTCAAGCAGGGACTCTGTGTCTTTTGTTTTGGGCGTTCTCAGTGTTGTCAGAGTTTTTTTGGGGTCCCAGCCTGTGCAAAGCACCTCGTGTTTGCTGCTGTTCTCCTCAGATGCTGCTCTAGCGGGCTGGGGGAACAGGGCTTTGGGGGTTTGTGCTCAAATGTAGCTTTTAGCTGGGAGTTAGATGGCTGTTCCCTGCTCTGGTTGGCTTCCAACTCCTCTGGTCTCAGAGTGTCCAAATCCCGTGTCTCAAATAATTCCTGCTAATCTGGGGGTTGTTTCCTGCCGCTGCAGAGGAATGCTTTCAGCGTGGCTTTCAACTGTGCTGTTGAAAACAGATCCTCACCTTGTGCTGGAGACAGGGATGGGGAAGCTTTCATCCAAAATTTAGCCCTAAGGAGGGGGATTCTGTGCATGCTCTGTCTGTACAGATGCTTCTTGCCCCGGATGGATTGATCCTGCTCCAGGGGCTCTTGGATCCCACTGGAGAGCAGTGAGTGCTGCACAGCCTCCTGTGAAAAGCTGCTGATCCAAATAAAACCAGTCAAGACGCTCAAGGATAGCTGGATGGATAAACTGGAGCACGGGGGCATGACAGGTGGAGCAGAAGCACTACGGAGCAAGGGACAGGGATTAAACCAAGCTGCTCAAAGACCAAAGACCACTCTGTCGGTGCTGACGGCATCCGAGTGCCTGGGAACACCTAATCTGCCCGGGGGAGGGCGGCTGCTCCTGCTGCTCCATAACTCACATCCCTGGCTCCGCTCCCGCCCGCCGGGAAGCGTCAGCGAGAGCCCCGGTGCGTCAGTGCCAGCGGGGACCGCGGCTGCTCGGCCCCGCCGCGAAAATTTCCCAAAAACAGCCGCTCTCACCCAGCCCGGCAGCTGCTCTGCTGCAGCCTCCGAGCAGCTCTTGCTGCTGCCTGACCTCCTCATCCGGCTGGCTGGGGATTTTTTTTTTTTCCCTTTTGTTCGTAAAACAGCGCATTTCGGCTTTGCCAGCTGCTCTTTTGGGGGTCCCCCTGTCTGAAGGGATGGAGCTGCTGGGCATTGCGGGATGCCAGGGGTGCAGAAGGCATCCTTCTGCATGCCTGGGAAGGGTTCACTCCCAGATCAGCATCAGTGGAATCCCCAGGTGTAATAACCTGGGTCCCCACCTCTTGTGGGGCTGTTGGGGTCTTCCTGCCTTTGGGGTGAACCTTAATTTTCAGCACCACTCTTTTCCAAGCTCAGATCTGGGCTGTGTGACCTCATTGTTGTGGGACAAATGCACTGAGAGCTCCTGTGGCACTGCTCTGACTGCCTGTCTCTCCCCAAATTCCAGACCTGCACTGAGCCACCAGAGCCCCTGCAGCAAAACCCACCATCAACTTCATCTCTGCTTCTGCTGGCAGCATGACTCCTGCCCTGCCTTGGATCATTCCTCTTGGATGTGTGCTGTTGCTGACAAAGACAGCTGAGTGCTTTATCCTGCCCAACTCGAGCCACCTGGAGAGCATCCTGAGTAAATACCAGGATGGGGAAGCTCACTCCAGGTCCAAGAGAGCCATTTTATTCTCAGACAGACAGGAGATACTGATGCTCCACAATAAATTAAGAGGTCAGGTGTATCCAGTGGCCTCTAACATGGAATACATGGTGAGTCTAGAGCCTGATACATCTCTTTATTTCTACTTTTTTTTTTTCTTCTAAGTGTATTTAAATTTTCCTTGTGGTGTGAGAGGAGTGGCGAATTTCCTCTGAAGTAAGTTTTTCTCAAGAGGTTTCCTGAAGCCTCTCATTCCAGAGTGAAGGATGCTTTAGATCAGTGGCCTGTTTTGGTTGGAAGGGGCTGCTGATGGGTCATCCAGTCCATCCTCTGCATAGTTTCAGAGGTGGTTCCATTATTCATAAAGGAGCATTTGGCCCAGCCCTGGATGCATCTCCAGTGATGGCAATTCCCCAGCCTGCCTCAGCAGGTTCTTCCATTACCTTCAAGTCATAAAAGCAGCAATTTCCCCCCAGTGCTTAACCCCTGCTCTCCCTGTGAAAGCTTTCAGGCTGTTGTGGGGACACCACAATCTGCTCAGGGAATCTTCTGGTGGTTTTTGGGCTGTTGGAGGTTCACCTGCCCTCAGTCACACATTGGTCACCTGGGCTTAGCAACGTGAGCCAAACCTCCGTGATGCTCCTGGGAATCTGCACAGGACCACAGGGAAACAGGCCTGAGGAATGTGGCTCCCTCTGCAAAGCACTGGAAATAGCTGGAAAGGCTTTGGGAGTTCCTGGGTGGATGGGTCACTGCTGTCGGGTTTTGTAGTTCAGGAAACCAAAATAGAAGTTTGGTCAGTGCATTCTCCCACTTCAGAGGGAGAACTTAAAAGTTGGAGGAGTATGAAATATGCCTTTGCCATCAACAATTCACATTAATATTTTTTTCACCTGGTGCCAGAGACCCTACTTTGAGCTGTTTTTGCCATGCCATCAAAATATTTCAGGGCCACAAAATGATGTAGGCAAATAATTACTTTTTGTGTGCCTTTTCCCAGTGTGCAAATATAGTTCTGATCAAAACTAGTTTGACTTCAACCTTGTGCCCCTGCTGGTGGATCAGGTGATGGATGACTTGTTAAGACCGTGTTTAAAAGGGTAAAAGAAGAGCAAACTCAAATGTAATATAAAATTGTTTGCCAGCTGTGCTGCAGTCAGGGCTGCAAATGGAAAATCCTGCCTTTTGTGACTGCAGGGAGAAGGGGAAGAGAAGGGAGGGCAGGGGACAGGGAGAAGGGGAAGAGAAGGGAGGGCAGGGGATGGTGGGGAAGGACAGCTGTCCCTTGGTCCATCCACACCAGCTGGGTTTCGCCAGAACTCCTGTGCCTTTCTAAGAACTGGGGACTGCATCCCTTTCTCAGCAGCTCTCACATTATCCTGCAGGGAAGCGCTGCCAGGAGAGGCGACTTGATGGATTTCCAGAGGGTAAACACAAAGCATGAGCAAGCCCAAGGTGTTTTGGTTGGCCGTGGGGCTGGCAGAGTGTCCGCGGCCCGGCCGCTGTTTGCACTTCTGTGTTTGCCTTTGCTCTGGGAGCTTTTCTAGTGGTTTTTATGGGAGATCGAGGGCAAATGAAAGGGCCTTATGTGCTCTGAAGAAAGGAGCTGAGTATGAGATGGTGCTGCTTGGAAGGGCTATAATCAGCCTTTCATGTGCTCCTGTTTACCCAGTATGACTTGGAAATGCCATGTATATGCTGAACAGGAATTTCTCTTTAATCCTTTGTCCTGCAGAGGACATTTCTCATTTGGACTCATTTAAAAGTATGGTCTGTCTGTAGGACCACAGATAAACTTTCCTCTTTCCCTTTGGTGCCAGAGTGGAGCGTCACTGGAGATGTGCTGGGATAATTTGTGGATGAGTGGGTAGAGCTTGTTCTTGCCCATCAACCTCCAACCACTCTCTTGTGAAAATCCTTTCTCCCAGCTCCATATCTGATGTATTTCCGTGGTCAAAAAGGGAAATGGGACCTAATATATTCCAGGAAAGGGACATATTTAACTGCTGCTGGATGAACTTCAGTTGTTGGACACTGTGAATGAGAAAGCAAGAGCACATATGTGAGTCCTATAACTTATCTGGAGATCAAAAGAATGGTTATATGCATATGGGATAAAGGCAAAGTGGGCTGAAAAATGAAGAAAGAAACGGTTTAGCTGCTGGGTCTGTATAATTAATTGAAAGCTGGCACAGGTATTCAGTGCTAATGGAAAATGAGTGAGCAGGGCACAACTTCCTGACAAAGCTGGGACAGTTCAAAATTCCCTTAACCCCTCTACCAGCTCCATGATTGACACTTCCAGAGTGCATTTGGACTGTTTAACAGAGGTGGATGGGTGCCAAGGCCAAAACAAACTCCTTGTTAACAGTCCCAGAGTAAAAAGGACATAACGGACTCAGAGGAAAAAGGACATAATAGATCCTGAGGCACGGTGACCTTTTAAGATGGCTTAGTCAGATGCTTTCAGCAGTGATGAAAGGCAGAAATCTTTCCTCTTGCGGCGGCCTCAGAGACAGCTGGATAAAGCAAAATTGTTCTCAGCGCAGATTGCTGGAAGGAAAATAGTTTGTTTTCATGTATAAGGTATGCATCCTTCCTCTCAACTGTAGGGTGGTGGCTTTCCCTGTCAGGATGGGATAGTGTTTCTGTGGGGGTTAGCAAAAAACATCTCCAGACCTCTGCCAGGACATGTCAGTCCTGGAGTTTGATGCCACTTTTAGAAGGAAGCTGCCAGTATTGCAGAAAGTCTGGTCTGGGGTGGAAAATGAGTGAGTAACCTGATCACTGCAATTCAGGTGTCTGGCTTTGGGTTTGCAGGCTCCTCAGGCTGAGGGAGCAGACTCCTTGTGGGATGCATTATTAAATCTGGACCTACAAGCTGTGGTGTGGTGTGTGTATGCCGTGCACATATTTTACATATACACTGTCCATTCCACTTTGAAAGGCCATTAGAAATTTTCAGGAGTGAAGAAAAGATAGTCCATTTGCTAACCCACTTGGAATAACACACACCCAAAAAAATTTTCAGCCTCTGCTTCTGAAGGAAGCTGAGCACAGGCTTGTTGCCCCTCTGGCTTCAGTCATCTTCCTAGATACTGCTTTGAATATTGGCATAAAGAATCCTTGCAAGTATAGCTGGGAAAGTCTGAAATCTTTTTTTCCCCCCATTTATTGCTCTGAAACAATTCCAGCCTCCTGACCGCATTCGCGTCTGAGAAGCACGAGGCAAATAACTGCTCCAATTTAGATGGGATGGCTTTGTAATCTGATGCCTGCAGAAACGAGCTTCTCTCCTCATGCAGCAAAAAGCTGTGCAGAGATGGAGCCCCTTCCCAATTACCTGTTAAGTGTCTTTTGTCCGAGTTAATTTATTTTATCCGCAGGCATCAAAGGGAGATACAAAGTGTAGGCTTGCATTAATTCCCATTTAATAGCCCATTGCTCAGGACGTCTCTGCATTAAATTAGGAGATTTGGAACATCTCCACCTCTGGGGCTGCAGGGAATAAAGCTGGGTAGGAAGTCTGAGGAGCTCGGAGAGCAGAACATCTTGGGAGAGTTTCTGTGGCTTTTGTGCTGGATGGGAGGGCAGCTGTGGCCCGTCACTGCTGAGCCCACAAAGTGGGAAACCACAAAAAGCTGTGTCTGGGCACTGCTGCAAGAGGCTGCCTGAGCAGAGGGTTGGGGATGTGTGGTGGGTCTGATCCCATCACTTCCAAGGTGCTGGAGGGCTGAGAAGGAAAATGGTTTTGTTCCCTGTGTCGGAGATGTGTCCACACGGGGTTTTGCAGGCTGGATTTGCTCGGTCACTGCTCAGTCCAAAGCCAAGCTGGTGAGACTGGGACAGCCCTGGGATGCTGCTCGAATCTGGGTTGTTGAGGGTGCTTCCTGATAAGCTGTCCTGGGAGGCCTGGGCTCTGAGCTCAGTGAGATGAGGTCACGTTTGCCTCACTGAGATAGCAGAGACACACCAAGTTCCAGGAGATCCTGCATTTTCCTGTTGTCTTACCCAGGGATGCACAGTCCTTCCCCATCCCAGCTATAACTGCCTGAGACTGTGTGCAGATATGCTCAGAATGAGCACTGGGTGGTTTTTAAGTGTGTTTGCGAGCCTGCATGCCCTGCAGCCCTCCAGGCTCTGACAGGTCCTTTCAAATGTTTGAGATCAGAAGTTGCCTTTCTTCTGGAGAAGACAGGACTTGGAAAGAGCAGCTGGTTGTGATGGTAAATGTCCAAAGAGGACAGTCTCGTGCTGGCATGTGGATGGGCTGGATGCACATTACAAGACCTCTCTTCTCTTTGGTTTTATTTGTAGGAATGTGTGGTAATATTTTAATCCCAACGAATTATCCTCCAAGGGCTGTTCTGAATAGAGCAGCTGTCAGTAATTACACAATGAATTCAGGGCACTGGCTGCTGGGCCCAGCGAGTCTGGCCTTTAGAACAAATGCTCTCCTGGGCAGCAGAGCTGCTTTCCTGTTAGCCTTTGTGTCATGCTGGAGCTCTCCTTTGGCTCACAACCGTGTGATATTTGATGAGCAGTGATCTCACCCCAGCATCCTGCCCCCAGCGGGAACAGAAATGGGATTTGTCACTTCTAACGTGATGCCTCTTTCAGTGAGAGTGGAAAAAGCTTAAAAAGCCCTGGGACATTGCCACCTCTGATGTATTTGACTGGATCCACTGGTGGACTCTCATTTACTCTGGAAGGAGAAGGGGAGCTGAGACTGAGAGCCTCAGACCCACAGCCCTTGACTGAGAGCTTGGATCAAAGATCTCCAGCAGTGTGGTGGTGGAGGTGGTGCAGATCTCCACTGGGGTTCCCCTGGGTGGGAAAACCTGGAGATACACCAACAGTAAGGACAATGCATGAAAAATCATGCTGAAAAGCACTGAGTGGCTGTCAGAACTCCTGCAGGACTCAGAAGTGTGTGTCATGTTGGAGATCATGGGATCTCAAAGTGTGAATTTTAGTTTTTAATTTTTTAAAACATATTAGAAAACCAATTGCCAGGAATATCTTGTGGTTTAGGGTGGATGGTCTGCGTGTGTTCTTGAGGTCTTCCCACGTGGGTTTGTGTGTTTTCTGATGAACTGAATGAAGAATTTCCTCAGATGCATGGCATCACCTGGGTGAAATCATAGACCCTTCAGTGCCCTGGACTTTTATGGCAGGGGGACATGTTGAGAAATGTGATTTTAGCACCGAAATGTGGTGGCTTCACCAGGACAGGCCAGACATGGGTGGTATGATCTGTACCATAGTCTTTCTCCACCAACTGCTGTTGGTTTAATCTCCCAATCTAGTGAGTTTGAGATGAAAAATGACCTGTTCTCTTCTCTCCCCTGGCCCTGCAGACCTGGGATGAGGAGCTGGAGCGGTCAGCACACGCCTGGGCTCAGCAGTGCATCTGGGACCACGGGCCCAGCGACCTCATCAGGTCAATTGGGCAGAACCTGGCAGTCCACTGGGGCAGGTAAGGCTTGGGGTGCCACAGGATCATTGCAAAGGGTAATTATGGGTCCTCCTTTAGAGAGAGACAGCTGGGAAGATTTGCCCCAGTACCTGGTAGAGCACTGGGGAGAGGGGAGAAAATTTGGGGTCATTAATTGTGATGGCTGCAGTGGGGTGGGCATCGAGGCAACGCCTGCAGCCACCTCCCACTGAGACTTCCCAGGAAACCAGCACTGATTTGGGCTCCTCCATCCATCTGGGTCTGGGGATAGCACCTCTGTAACACACTTAAAGTCACTCCTTCTCCCTGGGGAGAACAGGTACAGAAGCCTGAACCCTTGCTCCTAAATCTGCTGTTTCAAGGGGCTCTGGCATCATGCAGATGAAGGCTGAAGTTTCTCAGGAGCAATGTCTGGACCCAGCTCAGAATTTTTGTCTGGATTCAGTTCAGAATTTAATTATCTCTTGCTGTGTTTTCCATAAATATTTATCTGGCTCCTGATTTTTCTTTACTGAAAACACTTTGCAGGGTTTTTTTCAATTCCTGGGACAAATTGTTAAACTAGAATCATTAACCCATTTAGGAAAGCTGACATGAAGGCTTCCAAAGGGATTTTCCTCTCCATCTCAAGGTGAAATTTGTTTAGCCCCTGTTTTTAAGCTTATTATAGGTTAAACCTGCTTTGCACAGCAAACATTTTGTACTTGCTCAGGAGCACTGAGCATTTTCCCCCCATTTCCTGGGTGGAAGTCCAGTTATCTTTGTTGTAAATCAGGTAGAACTTGGTGGAAAGCAAAGGAAATTTGCTGGTGTGAAATTAGCCGGATGTAAAAATTGGGCCCATTTTAATGTTTGGCAAGTAGAGTGGTTAATTAATTGGAAGGAGTCAAAAGATCGTGCTGTTCTTGGCTGTCCTACAAGTGCTCAGGATAGCCATGGGTTCCTGATGGAGGAAGATCCAATCTTGCTCCCTTTGAGGTCCCTGAGAGGAAAGAAAAATCAGGTTTATCTCAGCTTTTTTTTCAGGAATGGGCCATAACTTGATTGCCTTCATTTCCTCTCCTGTAAAATAGGATTTGGAAAGTATTTGCTTCATGACATCATGAGATGGATGTTTTTAAAATACTTCTAATGAGTGATTTTAAATGAAAAGTTGGCTGAAAGGATAAGCTCCAGTTGGTAATGATATCATTTGGATTTCTGGCAGCTTGCTTGGTGTGAGCTGTTGAAAGCAATCAAAAAGCAGAGGGTTTGGTACAGTTTGCAGATCACTGTGTGCAAAGTGTGTATGAGTTTCTACAGGTAGTTTTGACACCATTTGTGCCCCCCAAACAGCATCAGCACTCCTCAGACTGTGATATTTGAGGCAGAGATTACACACAGGGTACAAGGGGCTTGGTGCAGGGGAAAATTTCTGCCAAAAAAAGGTAGGGTAGGAGTGCAGTGCACCAGATACTCCACACCAGCTCCTGGTGGGATGTGGGTAAGGAAAAGCCCACTCACTTCAAAGGTCTTACAGTATTGGCTGTGAGTTAACCTCCAGATTTAGCAAATTGCCCCCTGGTAAAATAGGTACATGATGGCTTTTGGTTTAAGATGTTTGGCAAAGCCTAACTTGTGTTTACTTTCAAAACAAAACTTTCCGCCAAACTAGAAGTTATTTTGTAGTTGAGTGGAAAAGTGAGAGGGCATTTCAGGTCAGCAGCACTTGAGGATCATGTCAAACCTATAAATAATACAGAGTCAGGTCAGGCTGTGAATCTGAGGGAAAAAATCATAGAAATACATAAAACAGTTTGGGTTGGAAGGGACCTCAAAGATCTTTCCAGTTCCAGCTACCCTGCCATGGCAGGGACACTTTCCACCATCCCAGGGTGCTCCAAGCCCCAATGTCCAGCCTGGCCTTGGTCAATTCCAGGGATCCTGGGGCAGCCAGAGCTTCTCTGGGCATCCTGTGGCAGCACCTCCCCACCCTCACAGGAACAATTCCTTCCCAATATCCCATCAAACCCTTCATTTTTAACATTTAAAAACAACCTTTTTTTTTTTTTTTTTTTTTTTTTTTTTTTTTTTTTAAATTTGAAAACCTCTACCAGAACATCCTGATTCCAGCTGCCTTTCCCCCCTCAGGTATCGATCTCCAGCATTCCATGTGCAGTCCTGGTATGATGAAGTGAAGGATTACACCTTCCCATACCCCCACGAGTGCAACCCCTGGTGCCCAGACAGGTGTACAGGCGCCATGTGCACACATTACACCCAGGTAAAGGACTCCAAGGGCTCTGTACCCGCACTCCCCACATCCCCCCGTGTCTTGATTGGGGTAATTTGCTTATTTCCAACAACTACATTTCCCTTGCAGATAGTCTGGGCCACCACCAACAGGATCGGCTGTGCTGTGAATGTCTGCAAGCAGATGAACGTGTGGGGGGAGATTTGGGAGAACGCTGTCTACCTGGTCTGCAACTACTCCCCCAAGTAAGGCAGAGCAGCTGGGCTCTCTCCATCTCCCAAAACTGGCAGCTGGCTTAACTAGCTCTGGGGAAGAGATTTCAGGCAGTCTAGACTGGTGGTTGTGGCTTTAAATTTTTTTTCTTTAGACAGCAGCACAGGGCTGGTTCAAAACTACAGAGCCTGGAAAACTGAATGAGAGGCTGGGGCCAGGCTGGAGCTTTGATGTTCCTGCCATGGGAAGGGAAAAGAGGAGCGGGAGATGGCCAGGATGGAGCTGGCGTGTGCTGCTGAGCAAGGCTTGCTCTCTGCTGTCAGAGGGTGGGAAGGGATGGGGTGGTGGCCAAAAAAACCCTGAAATAACTGCAGCAGTCAAGATTTCACTAGCTCGACGGTTCGATTAAATTTCAAAATGAAAATTATATTTCTTGCCTACTACATCCAGGAGCAGTTTACTACCTGGCAATGGCAGTTAAGATTTTCTGGTTTAATGGCTAATAGGAGAAACATTCCCGCTCCAAGCCCTTGGCAATTTAAACTTCAAAACAAAACAGGGAAATTACTCTATGCAAACGGAGTGGCTTGGGGAGCACCTGACTTCAGGGGATCACTGCAGAATAATGCAAAGGAAAAAGAATTTTGGGGTTGCAGCTGTCGTGTCCCAGGCAGAGCTCTCTGGGTGGGTTCTTTAAGCCCCTCTCCCCACGTCAGATGAGCACATTTTGCTCCTGGTTTGGGGGGATTTAACAACCTGCTCCTCCTGAGGGATAACAGCACCTCCCGCAGAGCCCCCGCAGCAGGCTGGGAGATTTACACATCATCCATTCAGAGCTGCTGCATGGAAAAACACTCTGTTTCTGCAGTTTCTGCTTAATCTCTTCTCTCTGGCACCAGTGCACACTGTCCTCATGTAGCCTTATAGGTGGAGACAGCTGAGAGAGCATAACCCAGGAGTTTATAGCCACAGCTTAACTCTGGCTCCTTCAACCTCCTCATCCCCTAAAACTTGCAGGACAGAATGCCAAAATGGGCTGTTGTTTCTGGGGAGTTTCTCCAGCAAAATGCAGTAATCCATTTATTCATTTCTGTTTATATAAGATCCTGATGTTAATATTGGAATGTAATATAAAGGCGATGTGCCACACATTTAAGCAAACCCCTAAAAAAATATCATTTTAGAGATGGAACGCAGAGGAACATCTTTCTTACATGGCTGGTTGTTTAGTCTTTATTTAATTGCTCTAGGCCAGGATGGTGTTTCTGGGTTTGGAGGCTTGGGAGGGTGTCTGATGGGTGCTCATTTCTCCTGTGCTCCCAGGGGCAACTGGATTGGAGAAGCTCCGTACAAGACCGGCCGTCCCTGCTCCGAGTGCCCGCCGAGCTACGGGGGGAGCTGCCAGAACAACCTCTGCTACAAAGGTACCTGCTGGGGGCTTGGGGCACCTCTGGGGTGGGGCACAAGGCTGGAGCAAACCTGTAGAAGCTTCTAATTGGAGCCAGCCACAGCTTCGTGCCCCTTTTAATTAGCCATCCTCAATATTCCGACACTGGGACACGTGGGAAATCGACAGTCACTAAAAGCAAGAATCCCTGAGCTGCTGAAAATCTGGAGCTGGGATTCAGCAGGTTTTCCTGGGGAAAACAGAGAGCTTGGCTGGGGCGAAGCAGCTCTGAGCTTCCATGGGTTTGGCCTGGGAGCTGCAGGGGGTTTTGAGTGCCGGCAGGCTGTGGGCAGGGGCGATTCCGTCCTTGTTGGGGAAGGAAATGTTCTCCAGTGCTTGGCAGAGGCATCCTCGGGGAACAGAGCTTGGCTGCCTGCCCTGCTCCTTCGGGAGCCACGGGTGGAGCCTTTGCCTCCCTCCCCACCTTTCAGGGTGGGGATTCAAGGGATGGTTTTCAGGTTTTCAGGGATGCAAAATGATCATAGCGATTTTTGCCCCTTGGAGGAGGGGAGGGGGATCCTGAAGGGTTTTTCCTGACCTGTGGAGTGTTTTTGGAAGAGAGGTCAATAGTGTAAAGCAATATTAGGGTGAGGCCTCCAGTGCAGCAGTGCTACCCCCAGCATCCAGGCTCTCCTGGGGTCATTTCTCTCCTCCCAAGTGTTTTTATTCCCAGAGAGCTGAGCTCTTTGAAAACAGGGATATTCCCTGGAGACTTGCCCAAAGCAGAGGCTTATTTTGCTGCCACCATGCATTTCTTGGTTTTTATCTTGTGGGGTTTGAAGCAGGACCCCAGGGTGCAGGTTGGCTGCAGCAGGGAGAAGGAAGGGCAAGCCCTGATGGAATACGAGCCCTTCAGCAAATTTGTGTTTTCCTCCAGAGGGAAGAGCTCCGTGGGGAACAGAGGAAGGAATATCAGCACTTTTTTCACTAATTAGTGGGGATCCCTTCAATCTTTATTGTGAGATTCTGTAAATGCTGCTTCATGTGCAGAGGAGCAGGAGAGGAGTGTCCTGGCAATAGCCCTGTGCTGTCTCCAGTGGGAATTTTTGATCCCCCAGCTGTTTAAAAGCAGATCCTTGCCCAGATAAATCATCCCCACAACACATGAACCTGACTTGCCCACCAGTGTGAGCACTCTGTGATTATTTTCAATCCCCTCTTTCACCAAGATCACCGTTATGAAGATCCCATCATTGCTGAGACAGATGAGACCAACGAGGTGGAGATTCCGCAGGTGGCGGAGCAGAAGCCGGTGCAGTTCCACCTTCCAGAAAACAAACCCAGCAAAACCATCAAGCCCAAGAAAATCACCCCAGAATCCTACATGAGTAAGACACAGCCTTTCTCTTTCTCAGCTCCTATGGCTTTTGAAGCACCTCTGTGGGAAAAGGTGTGGGAAGTGGTGAGGAGGCTCGGGGGCAAAGAAACTGGGAGGATGTTTGTGTGGAGGAAAGGTGATCTGTGTGAAAATTCACTGTGTGAAAATTCCCGTTGTGCAGAAAGCTGCTGGAAGTGGTAAGCAAAGCTCTCAAAAACAGCCTGTACCTTCTGCACATCGATCTGCAGAAGTTCTGTGTTGTTTCAGTCACTTCATAGAATCCCACAATGGTTTGGTTTGGAAGGGACCTTAAAGCCCATCCAGTGCCACCACTGCTGTGGGCAGGGGACACCTTCCACTGTCCCAGATTGTTCCAAACTCCATCCAACCTGGCCTTGGGCACTGCCAGGGATCCAGAGGCAGCCACAGCTGCTCTGGGAATTCCATCCCAGCTCCTCCCAGGCAGGAATTCCCAATTCCCAAAATCCCATCCATCCCTGCCCTCTGGCAGTGGGAAGCCATTCCCTGTGTCCTGTCCCTCCATCCCTTGTCCCCAGTCCCTCTCCAGCTCTCCTGGAGCCCCTTCAGGCCTTGGAAGGGCTCTGAGCTCTCCCTGGAGCCTTCTCCTCTCCAGGAGCACCCCCAGCTCTCCCAGCCTGGCTCCAGCTCTCAGAATATCTCCATGGCCTCCTCTGACAGATTCCAGCAGTCCATCTTCTCCTGATCTCAATAAAATATCAATATACCAGAAGGCCCCTCAGTCAGTAATACATTTAGGAAATGTTGGTTTTATTTCACCTTTAAAAAACTCTACACTCAGCACTCACCCTGCTTCACAACTTTTCTGGGGTTTATGGCTTGTTTCCTCTCTGTTTCTTGCTGGGGAATATTTCTGAAGTTATTTGTGGAGCTGCTGGTGCTTCCTGAGTCGTTTTCCAGCCGCTGTTAATTAAAAGACACTTATTGAGAAAACAAGGTGGGGCAAGCCAGCGGGTCCTTTTCAAGTTTATCAGCCAGCATCTGGAGAGTCTGTAATTAAAAGGAGAATGAGAGCTCTGACTGCAGACCTCGGGCTGTAAATTAAAGCCTTCAGCTGCATCTTCCTTGCTAATATTCCAAAGACACCTGTCTCAGGTGAAGGGCTAAAGAGGCACCAACTGCTCCAGGCTGGATAAAATCAGATTTTATCTTGCTGCACCAAAGACCTCCAGGAAAGATATGTGGAGGTTGCTCATTTCTGTAGCTCAAGAGCAGGCTGAGCAATTTCCTTTTTAAAAAAATATATTTATTTGATTTTTTTTTTGCTCCCCAGCACAAGTCATTACCTGTGAAACCAAGATGAGAGACAAGTGCAGAGGCTCAACGTGCAACAGGTAGGTTTTGTTGACACTTCTTGGAGTGCTGAGGGAAAAAAGTAAATAAATACTTACATTTTATTGTTAAATATTTTAAATAAATATTTAATATATATGTTTTATTGCTAAATATTATTCAGTTCTTGCAAACATAGAATAGGTTGCACTATATATTTTTTGTGACTCTCTAGGTAAAGCTCTTTAGGAAAAACCCCAAAACCCAACAAAAAAATCCCCTAAATTTCTCTTCATTCAAGCCTTCAGCCAAGCCTGGCAACAAGGTGATTTGGATGATTTTACACAGCCGTGATGACCCACAGTTTCAGGTGTCCAAAATAATTTAATAAATTTCGGCAGAGTCATTTTTCTAGCTTTTTTCATGCATTCCACTGCTGTCCAAGCCAGACCAATAATTCAGGGCTTGTCCCCTCCCAGCCAGTCAAGAACTTCTGGTTAAGGTTTCTGCAGAGAACAGGACAGTTTATCACTTGGAGAAAAACCAAATCCACAGAACCTAAATATTGGTCGGGCTCTTAAGGAGGGTGGAGCAACTGTTTTAAAAAAGTAGCTATTTTGCAATCTTGTTTTTAAAACAGGAGAACTACGTGAAATGAATGGAATGACTATTAAGTGAAATAGAGTCAAAGTCTGTTTTTCTTGAATTGTTTTTCGCCACCCTCAAAGATAAATATCTTTACTAGGTATTTGTGCCCAGCTGGCTGCTTGTACAGTAAGGGAAAGATCTTTGGAACATTTTATTACGAAAGTGTAAGTACCTTTTAATAGCTCCTGGATGTAATTTGTGGGAGTCAGTGGGAATGACAGAAATGGGAAATGCCAGCCATTCTGGTGTAATTTGGCTTTTCATGCTCTCCGGTTGTGGTGCTGTAAAATGGTGCTAATAAAGATTATCTGTGTTTTCCTCATCTTGCTGTTGAAAAAAGGGACAGACTCTGGGAAGGCAAAGTGGTTCCAGACGTGATTTTGTCAGGCATTTTTGTCCTTAATGTGGACACCCATGGAAAGTGAGGGATGAGCACCAACAGGCAGCTCCTACAAAGATCTCTTTGCTCCTGTGGGCAGCTGCCATCTGAACAGAAACTTTATATAAAAAACACTTCCATTTTGCAACTAAATAATATTTTGGGCTAATTTGCTTGATCTTAAATTAGTAAGATAATTTATAAATAAAGCATAGCACCATTTTCCCATCAAAACTGGTTTTTGGGGTGAAGAAAGTTGGAAGATAAAAGGGTTTTTTTTAGGTAAAATCAGGTTTTCTTTCCCTGTTCCAACTTCTGGTGCGTGACTGCATCACCCCTGATGTGTCTTTGCCCTGGAAATTCTGTGATTGCAGACACCCAACCCCTCCAAGTGGCGTCAGCAGAAATATTTTGGGTTTAAATATTTTGTCGAGAACTGGAAATATTTCAGACTGGTCGCTCACTTCCAACACTGCTTTTCCTCTAAATTGTATTTAAATGTATGGTTTTGTTATTAAAAAAAAAAAAAATCTTGCCATTCAACCAGGCAGTGCTTAAAATAATAGTAATAAAAGAATCTGTATTGGGAGAGGAAGATTTAACAACCAGATTCCAAAGGAGTGTACTCAGTTTATTTTCCACTTGGTGCTCTGGTGGTGGTTTCATTTCTCCTCTGTTTTTCACATAGCAGTTGGGCAGTGTTGCTCTGTGAATGAGATTTATTTGACTCATTTCACACCCCATCTATTTATCTCTTGTCAGTCCTCCAGCATATGTCGTGCTGCAATCCACTATGGAATCCTGGACAACAAAGGAGGGCTGGTGGATATCACGAGGAAGGGGAGGACACCTGCTTTTGTGAAGTCCACCAGGAATGGTGTGGAGTCATTCAGGTACTGCCCTCAGCAAAAACTTTAAATTAAATATTATTTTAATAATTTAAATATTAACTTTAAACACAAGCAGATGTTTGTAGGATGTTCAGTTATCTTTGCTCTCATGTAGACACAGTGGTCCAAATAATTCCACTCTGCTTATTTTTTTAATAATTTTTTTTGTTTGATTGTTTTACAGGAAAAGTAAACCTTCGAATGCATTCATGGTTTCCAAAGTCACAAGTAAGTTTTAAATGTTGAGGCTGGAAAAAAAATATTGTTGCTGGGGTTTTATCTTTCCTTTCAGGGCTCTTTTTCATTTTCAGTGGTTGTGTCAAATGGTTCTGTGCCACAGCCAAACCCTGCAGTGGTGGTTGAGGGTGATCAGAACCTTAGAGTGGCTGCCCACCCACCTGGGCAATTCCACCACCACCCACCTCATTTTCCTGGGGGCATCTAAGAGGAAGGTAGAGAAATGGGTGAAAATGGGCCAATGCCAGCAGCATCTCCTGCTGATGGATCACGGTGGGGTCCAGACTTCAGCTGCTGATAGTGAAGGGATGGAAGTTGAGCCATCCATCTATAAAAACCTCAGTCAAGTGTCAACACTTACAAAAACTGAAAAAAAAAAAAAAAAAATACTGGCTAATGCCCTAGTGCAGTAATGTCATGAAAAACACAATACATGTGAAATTAGTTTTTAACGGTGAGTCATCACACTTCTGATGGGCATATAAATAAACACCACTCTGCTTTTTAAACAATTCCCACTTTCTGAATAGCTTTGAAGAATTCCTCCAAGGCAGAACCATCCTTTTATTAGATCCATTGAGCCCCTTTCAGGGAGAACTGCAGGTGTCAGGATATTTGGGCTCCACATCTGGAGCTGCAGCAAACCCAGGTGTTGTGGATCAGCTGCCTGTCTCTTCTGAAAGCTGTGACCTTTTTAAGGCCACACGGTTGTGTGGTTGTAGGATTCCTGCTGGAGAGCTGGACAGCCCCGTCCTGGGATCCTGCTGCTGGAGCAGCTTTCCTCCTGCTGGACAAGGGTCTCACCAAATCCATTGTGTGGCTCTGACTTGTGTTTTCTGCAGCAGCCTGGGCTTTTGGGTCTAATAATTTGCCTTTCCACATTTATTTTGGCAGCACAGACTCTGGATTGTTACACCACAGTAGCTGAGCTGTGCCACTTCAAAAAGCCAGCGAGCCACTGCCCAAGGTAACACAAATCTGTTGGGTCTAAAACTTCTGTCCTAGGGAGGGGCAGCTCAACAGAGGTGCTGAGGGCCCTGAATTTGAGGGCTGGTGGGAGAAGAGCTGGTCATACTGGTTGAACTGGAGGAGGGGGTTGGGAATGGCGTGTTTCCTCCATGCTTTTCTTGGCATCACTGTAGAAAATTCACTTTATGTTTTTTGGATGGCTTCAGTAACATACCAGCCAGGCTGCACAATCCTGTCCCAGCACACTCTCATGTGCGAGCGTGCAACTGCACACTCTTTGTCTTTTTGCTTCTGCATTTGCTGTGTTTTGGATGTGGTTTTCCTTTCCACCTTAAAACATGGAAGAAGTTTGTCCTGGAAACTGTGCGGAAGTGACAGGGCAGAGGGGCACAAACACAGGCAGAGATTTATGTGCACAGAACTGAGCAAAAATACAGGTAGTCCCCCTTGAAAGGTCATAAAAGACCAACCCCTCTTTTACTGGTCCAAACCTTTCTGTTTGCAGCTCTGCAACAGCAACCAAATGTCATCTGAGGGGAGCGAATAATCAAATTCACTATTGCCACCTGCAGACCAGATGCAGGCGCTTGAAATCTCCCAGGAATGCAGCTGGCCTTCCTGTGCAGGCCTGCTCTGGAGAATAAATCTGCATACATTGTTTTCCAGGATTTACTGCCCAGCCCACTGTAAGGACGAGCCGTCGTACTGGGCGCCCGTGTTCGGCACCAACGTTTACGCCGATGTGAGTACAAACCTCTCCCTGCAGATCTGACTGCCCTGACCCAGAGCTGGGCTCACTCTGGGGTTTAGGGAAGAAATTCAGACTCTCTTGTGGTTATTCCATGTGGGGATGGGCAAAAGGGGGTGAAAGGTGGGGTCAGCAGGCTTGGGGAGCCCTTTTGGTCTCTGACACTGATTTATTCGGAAGGACTTGGATGTGTCAGTCCACAACTCCTTGAGTTGGGTTTGGTGAGCTCTTCTACTCTCCAGCACTGACTCCTTTCTAGAGATTTGGTCATCAAAACCTCCCCAAGCCTTTGGGCTCTGGCTGTGAAATGATAGTTGCACTTGTTTAAAGCATTTTGGGATTTATAGATGAGCACCAAAGGACTTTTATTCCATCCTAACACATGCCAGAGTTGACAGAAAAAGACCTCTCTCCCCCCTTTCCTCCTCGTTCTGGGAGATGAGCAGCTTCTGAGCAGCCAGGGCAGAGCTCAGAGCAGTGGAAATAAAGAAAGAGTGTGAGCTGGTTCTATGGGTTTGTTTTTCTGAGCTTTGCTCAAGGGGATGAGCAGAGACTTGATGCTGAAACTAGGCAGAGTCATTTTCTTGAAATCTCTTAGTATTAGGCCTCTAAAAGCTGAGTCTCAATGATTTTCCATTTGTGGGTGTCTGGTTATTTTGGGTTTTTTTCCTCATTTTCTGTTTTCCATCGGGGGCTGTGTTCAGGAATGCCAGCTCCCTGGCTGCCCTGTAGCCTGTAGGATCATGGTTTAGAAAACCTGGGGAAAGCAGTCAGCAGATTGTGGACCCCCAGCTTCAGGTCACCCTGGAGCTTTGCAGAGAAAATCCATCCTGCAGGAATCATACAGTAATTTGGAGAAGCAATTTTGAAATCAATTTCAAAAACAAAGCAAAACAAAACCCACTATTTTTAATTTTGCTCAGGACCCATTTTTTTGAAGGCAGAGCTGCACAAACAGGTTATCCTGGACTAGCTCACAGGCAAATCCAAGGGACAGCTGCCTCCTTGCAGTACCTGCCTCCTGCATGCTCCCACCTGCAGGAAATGGGAAATAGTTTTCTCTTTTTTACAGAAGAAAACCTCCCTCAGATCACCCCTGAACAGGGCCTGTGATTACAAAGGAATTAGGTGAGGAGTAGCATCCCAGGCTGGCATTGCACTGACGCAAAAGGATTAGTGTCCTTTAATGAACCCATTTCCTACTCTCCCTCCTGGGTATTGTTTCATAAACGGGTGCATGGACAGTGGCTTGGGAGAAAAAACAAAAAGCAATAGTAATAAAAAAGTATTTGGCCACTTCCTCGAGGGTTTGGTTAACCTTTTTTTGGACTACTGTGCTAACAGGGTGATGTGGAGGTGCCAGGAAAGAACTGGGGTTGGTGGCAAAGCAGGTGAGACCAGCTGGGACAAAGGGTTTGACTCTGAATGGTGCTGCAAAAGGAGAGGTGGGAATGCTGGGACTGCTCAGAATGGGAAGTCAAGAAGAGAAATAACCACACCAAGCAAGGAGAATTTGTGGAAAGGCTTTTCCCAGTAAGAAAGGTCTGTGCAGGGTGCTGGGAATTAACCCAAGGCCACTGCTGAGGGATAATTAAAGCAGGCAATGAGTTGGATGAGAAAAGTGCTGGTCTTCTGGGAGGGCTTTGGGAAGCCAATTTCATGTCTGGTGTGCCCTCGGGGCACCTGGGCTCCAAATGAGTCTTCTTAAATAAGCTGTCTAAAGGACAATGAAGGATTTAGCCCCATTTCCAGTCTGCACTTTGCTTTAAAAAGCAGTTCAGGGAATTGTTTGTGGGGAAATTAGTAAGACTGTGGAACAAGGACCTAGTAGAGGAGGCTTGAATTTTGGGGTAAATAAACAAAATGCAAGAAATGTGAGATGGTAAAAGTGGGCAGGCCTGGTTCTGGGATGATCACAGAGCCATGGAATGGTTTGGATTGGAAGAGACTTCAAAGCTCATCCAGTTCCACCCCCTGCCATGGGCAGGGACATTTTCCATCGACCCGGGTGCTCCAAGCCCTGTCCAACCTGGCCTTGATGCTGGAGCTGTGGGAACAGCCAGGGATCTTTATGGAGGTTGTAAAAGAGCTTTTGACTTCCATGTGGCTGTCATTTGTCACTCTGCCTGCCTCCTGGTGTGACATAATCCTGCCGGGGAAACCCATCCCATCCCTGCCCAGGAGCCTTGTGGAGCAGGAAAAAGAACAACTGCCCCACCTTTGAGATGAGGTTTTATCCACAGCTGCGCAGTGGTTGCTTGGAGGAGGATGGATGGATGGATGGATGGATGGATGGATGGATGGATGGATGGATGGATGGCCTGCACAGAGGCAGGAGTTTGTCACCAGAGCAAACTGAGTTGGGAGTCAGCTCCCAGGAGATATGAACTTAGTGATTAAGCCAGTCACACCAGTGAGGAAATTCTGGGTGATTAAGCTCATAGTCAGAGAACATTGTTAATGTGTTGTCTGTGTTGTAATTTTATGGTGTGTGCCCCGGGACTCATTTCATCAGGAATTGGTCTCAGAGCATCCCAAGGGGCTTCACCATGGAAAACTCTATTGTCCAGGCTGCTGTACTTCTGGACCTGGAAGGGAATATCTCTTGTAATATCTCATCTTCCAAAAGCTCTGCAATCAAATAATCAAAGCACAGCCTGGCCTGGGACATGAGAGGGCTGTGATCCAACAGAGTGATAAGAGGAGGTTTGGGGTAAATCTGTTGGTCAAAGCTTTGAGCGAGCAGCGGAACAGCAAGTCCTGGAAAAAAAAATAACAGGAATGCTTTGAAAAGAACATTGTTCAGGATGTCTCCCAGAGGAGAGTGCTGCAAATTGATCCAGGACAGTTTAATTTTATGAGCCAGTTTTAGATTTATAGATTTCCCACCACATATTAGGGCAAATTCACTGCATATCTTCCAAACATAACATTCCCTTGCTCCCTTGACCATATATAGAAGCAAAATACCAAACTAGCACTCAAAACTCTGAGGGCTGCCAAGAGATAGGCTATCCAAAGTGATAAATATATATATAGGGGACAAGGGCCGCCATATATGGCTGTGGCAGGGAAGCAGCATGGGCTGTATCATACGTGCACAATGGGAACAGTTGCACTTGGCACTGGTTTTGTGGTACTTGGGTTTTTAGCAATCAGGGCATTTCTGGGCTTGGGATTTTCACCTGCTGAAGTTTGCTGTGCAGAGTTGGTTTTTCCTTTGTGTTCTTCCAGCTTGCTGTATGTAAACCCTGCAGAGAGAGCTGATGGCCAAGTTTACACTATCCCTCACCCTTCTGTGCTTTTGCTCTTTTCCTGGATGCTTTGGGGGCTTAGTCATCAACAAACACTTATTTGTGTTCCTCCAGCTCTTCTGACTCTGCACATCTGGGATGTACAATTGAGAAACTTTGGTCTTTCCAGAAGTGTAATCTCCCTCCACATTTGGTGTTGTTTTTTGGGGTAAAGCCCATCCAAAAACTACACCAGTCAATGGGGTCAGCCCTTATTTCTAGCAAAGACAGAAGGATGTGAGCTGTCCCAGATAATTAGTGATCATTTACCTTAATTCAGGAGAAGCATTTCCTTTCCAAGCAACTGTGTGAATAACCTTTGCTGTCAGTAGTACAGTGTTACACCTCAGGGGTTTCTCTGGTGCAGTCCCAAGAGGCACTGGCTGGAAAGTTGTTCTCAGTTCAGTCTTGGCCCTGGATAAGATGAACAAGTGTGGCTTTAGACTGGACATTGGGAAGGAATTGTTCCCTGTGAGAGTGGTGACACCCTGGCACAGGTTTTCCAGGGAAGCTGTGGCTGCTTCATCCCTGGAGATGGCCAAGGCCAGGTTGGATGGGGCTTGGAGCACCCTGGGAGAGTGGAAGTTGTCCCTGCCCATGGCAGGGGTGGAACTGGATGAGCTTTAAGGTCCCTTCCAACCCAAACCATTCCATGATTCTATGATGATCTCACAGGGGCAGCTCCACCTCAGAACAATGGAAAATCTGTTTCTCCTCTGTGGTGATGGTGGATTTTCTTTCACCCAGGGATTATGACATACCTTCAAGATCTAGTCCACAGTTTGTCCAAAAGAGGGACAAAACTGTTTCATAACTGTTTCTTTGTCTATTCCGTTTTTCTTGGTGTTGATGGAATTGATAAGTCTTTGTATATAAAATATAGACAATGCATAAGTCACAACAATTAAATATTTTTCAGAGCTCCAGTATCTGCAAAACTGCAGTGCACGCAGGGGTCATTTCAGATGAAAGAGGAGGCTTTGTGGACGTGATGCCTGTAGAAAAGAAGAAAACCTACGTTGGCTCCTTAAAGAACGGCGTCCAGTCAGAGAGGTGGGATCTCCCTCCTTTGTACTCCCCTCCTCTCTTCCAGTGTTTTCATCTGCCTGGCAAAGTCAGCAGATATCAGCTCGATGGGCTGGCGGCTTGGAAAGAAGTGACTTCCCAGTGTCACCGTGAGTTGTGACAGCCAAACAAATGGAGCGTGGTGTCCTGCTCTTTGCTTCCCCCAGCCAGGAGCTGCACTCAGGCTGCTGGGAAATGTTGTTAAGACTTGTTAGGTTTTGTTACAGCACAAGTCCACGTTAATGCATTTTGCTGTGTGTTTAACACATCAGAAGATAAGCACAGGTATTTTCAGCCCCGGTCATGATTTGGGTTTTGTAATTTGGATTTCCGTTCAGTTCTGGGGTGTGGGATTCATTTGTATTTGTTGATTCATGTCCTCTCTTCTCTTTGAAATAAGTAAATTAACCTCTTGAAACATGATCAAACACTTTTTGAAGATGAATTTGCCACCCTTGTAGGTATTTTTTGTAGTTTCTCTAGGGCCAGCCATGCTGGTTTCAGTGACCAATTGCAAATCTGTTCTCCCAACACCCTGCACCTCCTCAAGACCACAACAATCCAGGCACAGCTCATCCAGTCCTTCCTAATTTGAGACTTCACTTTCAATCTGTTATGTGTTTTTTCAGATATTGGTGTGATGGCACTGATTTCTCAGGGTTATCTTCACAAGTACAGACTTTCACACTCGGGGGGATTTTGGTCACTGCTAACTCTGTCTGCTATGTGCAGTTCTTCTTTTATAAAAACTATAAAAAATTCTATCAAATTTTCTGCTTTTATTCTAGCAATAGATATTCCAGAATGCTTTAGAGCATCTCAAGAAATAAAAGCAGACTGAGACAGGAAAGCTATAGCTGTTAAATATGGGGTTTTAATATAGATTACCAGGGTCAGCATTTTCCATTTGGGTAACTTGCATTTAGGTGAAAAACCTCCTGTTCCTTTGATTTTTTTTTTAATCTCAGTCTTGCCTTCACTTATCTTTTATACTAAAAGACAACTTTTTAGGGGGATGGCAAACTGTGCCCTAGCTAAGAACAAATCCCACCACTCTCAGGGATGAGCAATGTGAGCAGCCAGTGCTGATCTCAGGGGTGAGGGAAACCAGAGACCTTCTCACAGCGGGGATGAACATTTGGAAAGTGTTATTTACACACAGCAATAAAGGAGCAGCCTCATGCTGAGAGATCCACCAGACAGTGAAACAGCTTTTCCAAGATTAAGGTGAACCCTCACCCTTTAGGACACTGGGTATAACCCTGGGTAAAGATACACACCCAGACAGGTATGGGGAAAGATTGTCTTGAGGATCTACAGGGTCTTCACCCTTGTTGCAATGTTTATTTTGTGGGGATATGAAATTTTGTATTTTTCCTGGGTTTTTTCAGTGCTGTAGGACCTGGGAGTAGAAACACCCCCTTTCCCCATGCACACAGCCACCCCAAGCAGCTCGGAGTCAGAGCATCTGGGGACACCTCTGCAGGTTGAAAAGGAATATCCATATTTATTGTGGAATATCCATATTCATTTAACGTGAGCTGATCTGGACATTCCCACTCCCAGCACTAGAAGCCAAGCCAGACAGGCCCTGGGGAACTGCCAGCCTATTTGACAACTGTTTTTTTAGGAAAACATATTCCTCCTTATGCCTGAATCTCTGCACAAGGGAGCACAGTGTTCCTTGGATAAAAGCTAGGGCTGTAAGAGAGCCTGTTGTCTTCCAGCTCCTTTTTTTGGCATTAGCACTACAGATTTGGATTGAGAACATAAAAAAAAAGGTGAAACCATGGCTTTGTGCCACTTCTTTCTCATCCTTTATTTTCTCCTTCTCCTGGTAGGAAAGAGATAGGAGAAATTCAGAGCTGCCTATTTGGGTTCTGTGGCGCCTTCACTTGGTTGATTCCATGTTTGTTTTCCTTTCCTCTTTTCTTTGTCTCCAGCCTGAAGAACCCTTCAGATGGGAACGCCTTCCGAATCTTTGCTGTGAAGCAGTAAAAACCCCCAGGGAAGGTGCAGGTTTCTTTGGGAGAGCTCTCTGTTGATCTCCAGAGACGCCAAAACTCCTCCGAACGACATCAGCTCTGCCCGTACCCTCCTTGCCGATCTCCTTCAGGGAATTCCAAAAGAAAAGGGGAAAAAAAAAATCCCCCCAAAAAAAGACCCCAGGTTCTGACTCAGCTGTTGGCATCTCATCGCACCCGTGCAGCGTTGTATCTTTTTGTCTCGTGTTTTTTTTGTTTCTCTAGGGGCATTCAGCGACCATAAACTGTTGTAAGTTTCATTTTACCAGAGGTGTTGCTATGCAGGACGGCGGTGGCTCCATGTGCAGCAGATTCAGGGATCTCAGCCTGGCCCTGGATGGTGTTTTTAGGGTGTGAAGCTTCTCCTGGGATGGGTGTGAGGATGAGCAGACTCGGGAGTGAGCGGCTGTCCAGGTGCTGGACACTTTGAAATAAGAAACTCGTTGAAAAATTGCATTGTTTGGGGAGAGGATAGGCTTTGACAGAGTGATTTTGTGTATGTTGGATGGCTTACGTGCAAAAAAGGATAAAAAGTGTTGTTTTCCCACTGAGGTTGATGTGCAGCAGTGCTGCTGGGCGAGGCTGCTGGGTACCTCGAATGATGGGGTTTAGGGATGTTCTTGGCAGCCAAAATTGAGGTTTTGTGGGCCTGGAGCAGGATGCAAAATGGTGGCAGAGATCCTCACTGCAGAAAATGAGGCCACCAGATCATCCAAAGAGCAGGTTTGGTGTTTGCTGGTCAAACACTCCCAGGTATTTTTGGCAATCTCTGAGCAGTCAGAGAATTGGGGCTCCTGTGCTGGCACGTCTCATCCTATACTCCACGCCATAACTTCAGTTAAATGCAGTGTATTGGTTTATACAGCAGTGCTGGTTGTTTTATAGTAGTTGAGTAGTGATAAAATTAATCTTATTTCTGCTAGGAATGGTTGCATCTGTAGGAAACAGGTTCGCTTTCCCTTTGTGAAGCTCCTTGTGGTGTGTGCAGTTCTGAGGCTTTAAAGATGTGGCATAAATTGGGGTAGATTAATTTTTCCAGGAATTTCCAATTGTGGCGCCAACAGATCCCCACTTTCAGTGCAATTGCTGTACCCATAAGCATTTGATATCCAGGATGGTGGGTTTTGCAAAACTCATAAGTTGTTGTAATGGTGTTATTCCATATTTTGATATTTTTGTCTTGACCCAAATGCATTTCAGAGCCCAGAGAAGGGCTCAGCATGAGCTGCTTTTTTAAGGTAGAATGACAATCTCTGCTGCGTATTGGAAATTAATTTTTATGATTGGTCTAAACACAAATCTGGTGGGTTTTGCTACACAAGCATCCAATAACTTCATCAGCCATGAGAAGACAAAGCCAGCAGTGGTTCTCCAGTTTTTGTAAATGCACAGTCCTTCCGTTCAATAACTGAATTGTAATATTGGATAACAAATGGGAAAATATTTCCCTCTGTTTGGCAGATGTTCCACAGCTGCTCTTAGGCCCAGAACATGTTTGGTTTAATCTAGACAGATACAAGAGCCATCTCATCAAGCTCTTTCAAAACACACACCAGAAGCATTTATATGATTAAATGCTTCTTTAATTCTGTAAACACCATGAAATCAGCAAGGAAATGACATTTATATGACATTCATCACTCAGTTTGCCCCACCATCAGGATTTATTTCTCCATAAAATCTGAATTTGGAAAGAAACCTTTTGTAAAACCTGAAATTGGAGCTGCTTTTCACTGTCTCCAAAAATACTGCACAGAAAAGCCACTTTTGGGGTGGATAGAGAGAAGTGAGCCTTTGTGTCATCTTTGTTAATGTAGTATTGTCATCCAAGGTGTACAGTATTGACTTTAGATAGGAAAACTGAACCATTTCCTTTTCTTACTAAATAAATTGATGTTAAGACCAGCTGGAACATATCCTAGAAAAGCTGCTGGAAGGGAGCATGTGAGATGTTGGCAGTGAGGAGAAGCTCCCCGTTTCTGCCCGCTGTGAAGCGTTGGGGTGGGCATGGTCTGGTTCCAGCCCATCCAACACTGCGGCAAGAATCTGGGACATCCTGGGCCAAATGGGCTGGGAATGGAACTGGGGAGAGTGAGAGGTACAGTCAGGTTCATGGGTACTGCAAGAGCACATAAAACACCTCGACTCTAGCGTGGGATCCATGAAAATTACGGATGGAAGGTGATGGAAAGGACTGTGAGGGCTCTTGGAGTAAAACCCAGGGGATTACTGAGAGCACATAAAAATCCAAACAGCTGGGGATGTACCTAGGTGACGGAAAGGGGACAGGGGAAGAGTTATTATTCCAACAGAAATATCCTAAAGTGCTTAAATCAAGTTAAAATTGCGTATTTTTATCTTCAGCCAACTGGTTTGGATTTTTAGAAACCGATGTTAATTTAAGTCTGTTTATCTGTTTATTTTTGTATTTGTTGTACAAAAGAGAAATTGTGACTTTACTACACAAATATTTTTCGAGGTCCTGGGTGCTATTAATTTAAACATACCTCCCCCAGAATTAGGGGTGATCAGGTCCTCCAAGGCAGTCATGACCTATCAATGACTTGCAATCATGTGTGCTAGCTATTCATGAATAGGTGGGACAGTACCAGTTTTTTAGCCAAATATTGACAGATTTTATTTCTGATACCAAGACATTTCTCAGCCTGCTATATTTCAGAGCAGCTTAAAGATGCATCACACCTGTATCTCACCAGGCCCTCTCCTCCTCAGCCCCAGCTCAGCAGATCTGTAGGCACCTGAAGCATCCAGGTGTAGCCAAAGCTGATGCTGCCTGGTTGTTCTTTTCCAATAACTTGGGGTTTGGAAGCAATGGCATGGTCATTGCAGAGCACCTGGCTCAGCCCAGTCTCCAGGAAACACAACCAGGGTGAAATCCAGAGCCTGTGCTGGTGGGGTCTTGGCTCCACTCATTCCTTCTTTTTAAGACTTCCAGCCAACAGCTGGTTGAGGAGGCTCCAGTTTGTCACTTGTGCAGTCTAAATATTTAGGGCCAGTTCATAGAGTTGCTTTTCTTTTTTCTTTTTCTTTTTTTATTTTTCTTTTTTTCTATGAAAAACGGTGTATTTTACTTCCTATGTATAAAAGTTACTTGTAAATTTTTTGTGTGCCTTTGCATGTTTTCCAAGGGGCCGTGGTTGTTTATAAACTAGATTTTTTTTTTTTTTGTCTAAACACAGAATTGTAAAATATCGTTTCCTCCCTACCCTTCCATTTTCTTTTGATTTCTGAATTATTTGTGAAATAAAACCTTCCTGGAATGAATGCTTCCCTTGTCTTTAATGCTCAGCCAGAGTTGGGTTGGTGTTTAGAAGAGCTATTTGGGATTAATCCTGGGAACTGGAGTGTCCCCTGGAGACTCCAAATGAGATTGGGATGTGCAAAGCCTGTTCCACAAGCAAATAAACTGCCCACTACCCAGGCATCAAAAATAAGAAATATCCTTAATGAAACATACTGAGAGTAAGGGAAAATCACTGCCTGCCTTTGAATCCCTGCAACATAAGGGCTGAATTAGATGAATGGGTTGGAAATAGCATTTAATGATTTAGTGCCGCAAAATACAGTGAGGTGAACTCCTCCCCACCTGAGCAGGCTGGTGTGAATTGTACTCTCATTTTTTGAAAGGAAAAGTATTCCGATTTTGTAATTCCCTTTGAAATTTTCTCCAGGCTCATCCTTGCTGACAGCACCACAAATCAAACCAAGATTTTTCCTGGTAATCCGACCCCATTTGGTTAAAGAGCAACTCAGGGCTGTTCATAACTCATCCTCCAGACAATGAGCACCAGATGGGTTTTGACCAAAAACATAGGCTGGGCCATGGGATGGAGTCCTGATAGACCAGGCCATCAAATTTGTGCTTTTCATTACCCGTACAAGAGGATTAATGTTAAATCCAGAGGTGTTTGCTTTACTTCAGGGCTGGGCTGATGCAGTTCTGGTTGAACGGTATTTCCCTGTAAATCCCAGCCTAGGACTGATGAGATAACCTCATTTTTGCCCTGCCAGTGATTTTTGTCAAAGTTAAGCTTCATGGCTCCTGCGTGCTCTGCAATTCCCAACTGCCCATTTGAATTTACTTTGTGCTTTCCTTCCCCCATTCTTGCTGCTGCAAAAATGTCTCCTCTGCTGGAAGCATTTGAGAAGATTTTCCTGAGCAGAGCTTCAAGGTAAGCAGAGAGGGGAATTCAGACTGTTGGTCATTGTGAGGCTGCCTGGAGCATCCCATTAATGGCAATAATTGTTTGATATTTTATTTGTTGGTGCTCCAAAATGCCCCACTCTGTGATTTGGAGCCTGATGGTATTTAAGATCCTTTCCAGCTTAAATCCATTCTATGATTCTGTGAGTTCTGTGGTAAAATTTAGATCCTGATTGGTCTAGAGAGCAAAACAGCAAAATACTCAAAATTTAGGGCTGAACCTAACCCATCCTTTGGGTCAGCTTGTCATCCTTTGACACTGTCTCTGGTTTTGTCTCTTCCTGCTTGAGCCCTGGGTTTTGTCCTCTGCTTGTCCAGCAGAAATTTGTGTCATCACAAGTGAGAGCAACGTGGCAAACAGAGCTGTGCCTGCTTCCTGCACAGCAGGTACGGAAACCAGGGAAGGCTCAGGGGGAAACACACAGCCAGGAGAAATTTCAATTCTTTTTTTCCCAGCTGGGGTGGGATCCAGATTCTGCTTTAGCTGAGAAGGCAGAAAGACTGGCAGCTGAAGGAAAGTAGAGGGGAAAGGAAAGTGGAGCTGAGTGAGGGTGGCAGATCTGATATTCCCACATCGCTGGGAATCCTTGGGGATCAACCAGCAGCCAGCTTGCTGCTTCAGGCACAAATATCTTGTTGCTGGTTGTTTTGCCTTCTGCTGGCTGCCCCTAGCCTGTGCTGAGCTTGTCAGAGCCTATGTATAGCACGGGCATACCTTGGGGTGGGTGTCCTTCCAAAAACCCACAGTCATTTATAGGATGCACCCCCGATGTTTTCAAAGCCATTTTGCAAACGGTGGGGTTGGCTCTCATTTACACTAAGGACCTACTTTAAGGCACTTAGGAGGCATTTATGCCACTTTAGGGTGTGGAGAGAGGCAGTGTAAAGAAGCCTCAGTGTAAACAGAAACCACCCTTCTATCTTGTTGACGGTGGTTAAAATTGGGTTAGGGAGTTAAGTCAACAGACAAGGTCTGCCTTATGCTGCTCCCTCTGCTCCTCACCCAGGGGAGGGCTGTCCACAGTGTCCCTCAGCCACTGCACAGCCCAGCACATGGCAGGGAGATTCAGTGTCAAAAGGAATACAGGGATATTTATAGAGGGTGAAAAGTCAGGAGGTGCAGGTGGAACATGAGAGCAGAAAGAAGAAGGGAGAAAAATAAACCCAGAGCTTTGGGGTGTCCTACAAGGGCTGATTCTGTCAGGTTTGGGCTCCTGTGGTTTAGGGGCTGTGGGTGACCGTGACCCCAAGGGGGGGGCCTGCCAACGCATACAGCTGTCCTGAGGAGTGCTTGACTGATATCTGAAGTTTTTATTTAGTAGCTGCCCCAAGGCTTGTTTCTGCACATCTGTCTTTTGCACATGTGGAAGCTGAGAAAATACCACCTATGAACTAAACCCAGGGGCTAGAGGACAAGTTTGTCAAAAACAAATCTCAAAAGCAGCCTGATTTCCTTCTCCACCAGTGAGCAGGCTTTGTAAGTTTGAAGAAAGGGAGTAAAACCCAGTAGAGATTGACTGTTGGAGGTAGGGAGGTATACCATCTAAACTTGATATGTTTGTAATGAAAATATTGTTTATATCAATGCAGGGGGCTCCAAAACTGCATCAGAACCTGGGCTGGAAGAAACAGGCTGAAGAATCAGATGAGACTTGGAAGGGAAGAGTACAAGGAATAATAAAAGATGGAGACCAAGCAGTAAAGAACAACTCAGCCCAAATGAGATAAAGAGTCAAAACCATCACATTATAGCCAAGGAGATAAAAGTCATATCAGGTGTGAAAGGAACTGCAAGGCAGGTGAGAAACCTTCCAGCTTTTCCCCCTCTGCTCAGGTCTCTGGTGCAATATGACATTGTCTGGGTTTGTCCTGCTACTGCCTGGAAAATGTTCATCCTGCTGTGGGAAGTCCAGGAGGAAAGAAAGAGAGACCTGAGAGCTCACACAACTCCTGAGAAAGCAGGAGAGATCTCTGAGGATGGAAAAGGTCAGTCATGATAAAAAACAGTCATTGTTCCTTTAAGTCTTTGTTGTTCAGGGTTTTTTTTGGTTGGTTTTTGGGGGGATTTTTTTAGGTCTTTTGGCAGAGAGGAAAAGGATGCCTGAAGTGTGGAAAGGTACAGTAAAGGGAGAGAGGGTTCTTCATGCCCAAAGAAACTCCACTGGGAAGGGATGGCCTTAAAATGTAGTAGAAAACACCAAGACCATTGATAAAGGTTCTGACTGGAGCAAATTATCCATGTGGTCTTTTCAAGGCACCATTTCAGGTTTTTAAGATTATTCTGGATGGCAGCTCCTAAAATGAGATCCTGCTTTGAGTGGAGGATGGACTGGAAAATGTCTTGGTGGTCCTCCCAGGTGTTTTTTCCCTGTAGTTTTCAAAGTTAAAGGAAATATTCCATCATGTGGGATGGGCTATATTCTGTTTGGACCAGGATGGTGCACAAGCAGGGACTGTCATTTTCCCATGGGTGATACAGATAGAGATGACCTGGCAGAAGAAGCCTAGGTGAAGGTGTGCAGAGTCATGGCAGTCATGATAAAAAATAGTCATTGTTCTTTTAAGTCTTTGTTGTTCAGGTTTTTTTTGGTTGGTTTTTGGGGGGATTTTTTTAGGTCTTTTGGCAGACAGATGAATTCTGAAGTACAGCTGCAGATGGACCCGTGACTGTTGTGTCTGTGATAAAATAGTGGGGACAACCCTTCAGAAATACTGGTAAGGAAGGGGTGATTTAATGTCATAGTCATATTTTCTGGAAAAATCCCTTTGCCCAGGATTCTTCTCCTGGGAAGCTCTGGCCAGTCATTGCCAAGCTGTGTCGAGGCTCTGGAAAGAGTCACGAGCTTTCGTTATTATCTTTTAGCATTCTGTAAGTATCCTTTCTTTAGTTTTCAGTATAGTTTAGTTTAGAATTGTTTAATATAATATAGTATCATAAAATGATAAATTAGCCTTCTGAGAGTATGGAGTCAGATTCATCATTCCTTCCTTCATCTGGGAATCCTGCAAATACAATAATTTAGGGCATCCCCTGGGGGTGTCGCTGAGCCAGAACTGGGCACTGGCTGCTGCAGAGCAGCACAGGCACAGAAAGCATCTCCTCCCTGTGCCGGGCATGCAGCACCATCTGAGCACAGGCTTTGGGTGGGGAGAGGGAGACCATGGAAATTTTCTCATCTGCAGAGTCATGAAACCATCCCAGGCATCTGAGGGCAGCTGGCCAGCTCAGCAGGCTGTGTGTGCCTTTCCAAAGACACCAGGGAAGTCAAGCTGTCCCAAAACCTTACAGCAAAACAGATGCAGGCAGCTGAGCAGCCCAGTGCTGGACAATGCTCTCCTTGGGAACAGCTTCATTATCAGCAAACAATGATCTCTGCAAATCCAAAGCACTAAATGGGGATTTTTTTTGGACACAGGCCATTTCAACGAGAGCCATAAAATTAATGGAAACACCCAAATTTTCACGAGCTCCAAAGTTTCGCGTCTAGACCGAGAAAAGGACTTTAGGAGCCAACTCTAGTTGATGTTGTGGACAGCTCTGGATGCAGTTCCAGAAAATGCTTGTGATGCACTTTTAAGGAGAGTTACTGGAAAAGTGGTCAAGCCCTGTCCCCTTGGCTGTGGGCACGGTGTGGCACAACGGGGGGGCTTGGAGTGCAGGGTCCCCCCCTCCCTGAGTGTCCTGCGCTGACGCAGAAGAGAGTTGTGTGAAGTCTCTGCTCTTCTCTTATATAATCCATGACTTCAGATAAAATTAATGCCAAGTACCCAAAAAAGGGATTGATTGCGCGCTGCCTCGCAGCCTCTTCCCGTAATCTGAGCACAGCCTTCGGCTGGGACAGTTTTGCCAGTAAAACCGAGGTTTTTCCTTTGCCCTGGGATCCAGGTTTAAAATTAGCTGTGTCCCATCCCTGCCAGCCTCAGTGCTGACCCTCCCAGGGTCAGGGCCCCAAAAGAGCCCAGCAGCCCAGTTTAAACAGTGACCAGAAAAGTTTGTTCAGGGAGGGCTCCCTGGACACGAACAACAGGAGCCTCCGTTAGCTCCTCCA